CAAGAAAATCTTGATGAGAGTTGATGAGAATTGATTAATAGATGTAGATGATGAATGAAAACGGAGTTTTTGATACGATATTTATAGAGAAAATCATCCAAAACAGATAATTTAACAAAATAGAGTCTGAAGATCGCAAATCAACATTGGCGCCAGCCCTGGCTAGTTGGCGCCAGGCACCAGTGGCTAGCGCCAGGCGCCAATGGCTAGCGTCTGGCGCCAAGCCTGGTTCCAGGCGCCAAGGCCTGGAAGATAAGTTTACCGTACTGGAAGATAAAATAATATAATTTCTTCGAAAATGCTATTTGATCTTAATTAAAACTCTGAAGAGTCCTAATGGAATTAGGAATGATAAGACCTTCTAGAATGTTCTAGAAGACTAAAACCATTCCTAATTGCATTAGGAATGATAAATTATATTAGGCCCTCCCCTAGATCATTAGGCCGTACTTAAAGCTCAAACCGAGCCCAGTTTGGTAAATTGGCCATAATTTCCTCAATATTCATCGAAATTGGGCTTATAATATATCGTTGGAAAGGTCTTTGCAAGCCCCATCCAAATACACCACTATTGGACCCATATCATGGACCAACCAAACTGGATTGGCTGTTTTTCTTAAAATAAAGTTTTCAAAAACAGGGAGAAGAGAAAAGAAATAAAACTTTCCGCAACACTAGACCTTTCCACACTTTCGTTTTATTTGATTATAATTCGACGTGAAAGGCACTCATCACCGGGTTTGGTTTTGGGGAGACACAAATGGGTATCTACAGAAGCCCCCACTTTGACTGAGTTTGGAGAAACGCAAGTTTCAAAAACAAAAGTCAAAGTATCGATAAGGACGGAGAATGATTCAGAACGTTCTGCGATCCTAAATCACTCTGATAACGCCGATACCTGCAAACTAGCGTTAGTTAAACAGATAAAAGAGTTAAGAAACGCGTATCTTGCACCGTCGAGCACACGTCTCTGAAAGTAACCGATTGTTGTTGCTTTGTTGTTTTGATGACCTCCTGCAAGCTAGAGAATGTCATCCCGCTTGAAAACCGCTACGCCCGTAACCGCTTCCAAATTAGAAGATTGCTTCGCCTAAAACTATCCTCCCCGCAATTATAATATTCCACGTCCAAGGGAATACTATCGAAGATTGCTTCTATTGAAACAATCCTCAGTTGTTTGTGACAACTCTCCACAATCTAGGGAACGTAACCTTGTTGTTTCGATGTTCACTCGTCTCTGAACGAAGAGCTTCTTTTTTTATATGTTCACGCGCCTCTGAACAAAGAGCTTCTTGATAATAGGATACCCACGCGTCTCTGAGAAAAAGAGCTTGTAGGAAATGTCCACGCGTCTCTGAACAAAAGAGCTTGAAAAGGATTGTCCACGCGTCTCTGAACAAAAGAGCTTTTGAATGATATGCCCACGCGTCTCTGGAGCAAAAGAGCTTGAAAATAGGAAATGTTCACGCGTCTTTGGAGCAAAAGAGCTTTGATGAAATGTCCACGCGTCTCTGAACAAAGAGCTTCGGTGCTTGAATGTTTGTTGCAATAATGTCTTGAAAAAAAAATTTCCGAAGACCAACGTTTGTCGATCTCTAAAGCTCGCCTGAACTTTATTCCGCTGAAACCAGTATGTCGGTGTCTCCGTGATTAGGCGCTTTAAGCAAGGACCCCGAAATTGCTGTCTGAAGTCGAAATCACCTTTCTGAGAGGCTTCGAGCTCTGTTGTTGTTGAGATATTTCTGGCGCCAAGAATTGATTCTGTCGCCGAACGCTGTGATAGGGTCTTCCTTGTTCTGTTGCACCTGTATTTATTTTTTACTATAGAACTTTGGCAATTTCTTTAATTATCTTAGGGTACTTTAATTGATTTATTGATGTTATGATGTAGAAATCATGTTTAGGTTGTTATTATGATTCCTAGTATCATGTCTAGGGTAATTTTAATATTAAGTATGATTAAAAGTATGATGCCTTTTATATTCTTCCTAATATTTATTATTGTTAGTATCATGTTAGGGTTAAAGATTTGATTTTTATTGTTTAGTGACATGATAGGGTTTGCTATTAATCTTGTTAGTATCATGCCTAGGATCTTGCTATTATTATGCTTTAATGTTGATATGATTATTTTAATTATTATTTATGATTATAAAATTATGAGTATAATTGTTATAATTTATGATAATTATTATTATTATTATTATCTTGATGATGATTATTTTATTTATGATTATATTTTCATAATTATTATTATTATTATATAATTATTATTATGTTGCTTGATTTTTATTGTTATTGCTTGATCACGTCTTTTATGCATGTTTAAAGGGAATTGGTACTTGTAATCATGCTTAATAAGATATTAATAATCTTGTTTAGGGTTAATGTGATTATAATTCAAGTGATCGCCAATAGTAGTTTATTTGTGCATTAAATTCAACCAACATAGATAAACAGGTTTAGGTTTAATCCTATTGATTGCATGTTAGTCAGAAAGCGCACATGAATACGATCTGAACAAAGTAGAGGCCTATTATTAGGGCAGGTTTAATCTCTTTTAGGTTGGATTTGTACCTTCATCCCGAACCCTTATTTGGTTCAAGACCTTATGGAGTTGACGATCTCTTGGATCGTTAAGGGGTGTAACCTTCACCCTGTGAACGGTTTACAAGTTCCTAAAACTTGTTGGCGACTCTTTTACTCTATCTTCTTCCCTTTTGGACGCCACCGTACTTTAGTGTATGATCACAGTGGGATTCAAGCTAGGGGATTAACGCTTGAATTATTCCCTACAGCGTTCGAATTTTAAAAAAAAAAATATTACGAGCAGGTGGCGCGCGCAACTTAATGAGTTGCGCGACCCCAACCAGCGCAAGAGATTTGGTTGCACGTGACATCCGCGCGCAACTCAATCTCTTGCGCGCGCCCACTGTTACGAGTTGATTTGATTTCTCAAAAAACGAGTCGACTCATTCAAACAATACCTTTATCGGAGAACTGTTTAAGGGTGACGTTATTCGTTCGAATATATCTTGCATTATTTTTTTTATTTTTCTCTTTTAAACAAGCGTATCGATTCACTTATCCTCTCGTACTTCCTTTAGGGCCGGTTCTCAAGCTTGGGAACGAAGACTAACGGGCGCCCGTATTCAACGTTTATCATCAAGTAACCCACCTCTTTCAAACCACTTTCCCTCAACAACTAGTCCTAGTCCAACAATAATGTCAACCATCGAACAACTCCAAGAAGAGATTGCTCGATTAAGAGAAGAAGCGGCCCTTGGGTAAGGGTTATACCATCCGGGTGCCACCTGTGTTAGGCACCATCGCCTGGGAGGATGACCAGCCAAACACTGATGCTTACACTCGATGCTACGAGGCGGCGTTTTTGGCAGGCCTACGCTTCCTGCTTCACCATGTGGTGAGGGCCATTCTTAGGGATTATTTCTTAGGAGTCTAGCAGCTCTCACCAAACTCATGGGCCAACATTCTAGGGTATGTTGCTGCCTGTGAGATGCAAAACTTGAACCCAAGTTGGCAGGCTTTTACCCATATACACTACTTGAGTCGCAACCCAGGCAGCTGGAGGCCGTGGTACACTCTGACCACCCTTCCCAAATATCAGATGACATTGTATAAGGTGTCCAATTATGACGATTGGAAGACACAGTTTTATTTGTTGTCTGCCCCAACCCACCTAGAGAATCGCGAGATGCACCGGTATAAAAAGAAACCCGACCTTCTACGTCGCAAATGTGCCCTACTTAAAATATTGGGAGATGACTATGATGCGATCATGGAAACCAAGTTTTTTGAGCTCCGCCCGGAGACTCTCTCAACCGTGGACGTAATCAAATTCCCTAATAATTAGATTCCCATGTGCGCATGGTTCAAGGACGAGGCGTTCTTGTCCGCCTACGGACTCAGCACCATGATTCCAAAACGTAAGTTTTATCGGCATCCGGTTTAATGCAGCTTGTACTTTTGATACTTAGTCACAATTTATTTAATGTTTTTGTTATTTTTTGCAGAAGACGCGCTAATTATGGTGGCTGAGGAAAAAACCCCCCCAAACGGTCCTCTGCACAAAATATAAGGGACCTAGCAGAGGTCAGGGCTGTCAAGCTAAGGGTAGAGGTAAATACCCTTTCCTTAGCCTTATTTTTATCAGGCGCAACCTGATGCTTAACTTGTTATTTATGTTTCAGGGTGGAGAATTTCACAAGTCCTTCACCAAAAACCTCTTCAAATGGAGCCTAGAGGAGACCGCCTCCACTCTAGTCAGGTAAGACGGACCCTGATGGGTCCTTGGAAGCATCGCCTTTGGATCGGGGGGAAGAACACCACTGTAGGAGGCTTCGAAGTGGGATTTGACTTGAGTTTACCGTATAAAATTAATTAATAAATCACCTAACTTAAACCTTCAAAAATATTAACAACTAGTAGAAAGGGTAAGTAAGGGTCGAACCCACGAGGAGATTAATTAACTCTATAAACCCAAAATTAACTCGAAACATAAACTATATACTTAAAATAGTATTATTCACACTATGTACATGAGATTGGGGGGTTTAATCGAACGAGTAACTAAGCCAAACAAGATAAAAATACTATACTAATATGTTGTTTAAAAATAGACGACAAGCAAACCACCAATGTACAACAAATCGATCATCGATTAATACGAAATAACTTAATTCCCAACTTCCTTCATATAGTCTCATTCAATATTCAACTTAATATTTAGGTAGTCAAATTACCGCCGCAGTCGATTTGACATGTATAGCTCACTAGAAATCAGAATCTTACTAAAACACTTTCTACCCCAATAAACTTGATTTATTAGATCAACCTACAAACTAAACAAAACTACGATTGAGTCGCTCAAACTAGTAATATCGAGTGATTCACTCTAAATTATCAATTAACGCCGCATCAAGTAATAATTTAGCATAGTCTAATTACTTCATACTAGCAATCGTATACTCAATTACAAGTATAAATAAATTAAACGTTCATATAAAAACAAGGAAATCATGTGGATCAATTAAGTATCAAACTTGAGTATTTAAAGACGATTATACTCAGCATTTAAACTACGAAACATAAATCAGGAAATTAAAGATCAAATTACATCCAATTCACCGAGTAGAAGCAACCAAAATAATCACAAAATTAAAAGATGAGGAGTAAATTAGGGGGAACTTATGAACTGAGCCAAGAAACAAACAGCCGCTGCACGAATCCACCGTCAAATTCATCCCTTCGCCTTCCAATACCACCCAATTGATCACCTTGGACCAATTCGTGCTCTACTAAGCCTCACGAACTTCCCGTATTTTTGTGGTAATACTTGTGTGTTTTCTAGGAGGGATAATTGGGAATTTTATAACCGAAAACAACCCAGGTTTTCTGGGTTTGAAGGGATAGAATTGTAGAGTAGGATAAAACTTGATTTTCTTCATGACTTCTCGTGAATTTCGGAGGAGAATAGCAACTCTTGTTTTGGGGATGAGGATTGATAATGTCAGGTTGCTTAATTTCCCCTGTACCACGCATCTTTACTCCTTTTCTTCTTATCCCCTTTTTTTCTTTTCATTTTGCTTTTCTTTGCATTATGATGGCACGTGATGTCTAACACAAGTGGGCTTCTTATTTTGCAATTGTCCCTTCCAAGTCCACCTTATTCCCTTTTGTCTTCCTACCAAAAGCACACAACATATTATTTAGTATCACTTATTATAAAATTAGCTATAAAATAAAATACTAACGTAAAATAAGAACTATAAATATTAAATTGACTAATTTCATAAAATAAATAAAAGAAAACGATTATAAGACTAATATTAGGGACTAAAAATATGGTATATTATGCACTTATCAAATTGCCCCACACTTAGTATTTGATCGCCCTCGAACAAACTAAATAAAACTAAACTATAAAAGCAATAAACCTAACTCACTGTCGTAGAAATCATGGTTACACTTAATTAGCATATGCAACGACCCCTTTAAACGTGAGGACATACCCACAAAGTCTCTTTATTTGGAATCTTTGAACCAATCAGCAAATACAACCAAAATAAGCATTTCCCAGCAAGCATGGACCATATATTTGACATTTATAAAGATTTTATCACTCTCAATGTCCAACATTGTATCATTTCTGTTTCTCACCTTTATTTTTATGTATTTGATTAGATGTCTTTTTTTAGTAGTACATTTATATCACACATCTCCAACATTGAACTTAGACATACTGTTTATTTAATTTTTTTTTTTTTCTTCTCAGGACTCTTAATGCTTTGTCTCTGTCAAGTAGTTCTTGTAGCGAGTGTTCGACCAGTGACTCCCGGTCAAAATTGGCCCAAGGCACTAGGTTTTAAGATACCCCTACGGATCTACTTACTCGAACTACTTAAGCACGAGTTAAAAACATCACACGTACATAACTGGGTTTTGATTTTTTTTTTCCATGTATATATATATGAATCACTTTTTAAAACTAGACATTGGTACGCAGAGCCTTCAAATGTGAAACTATTCATTATAAAACCACCAAATAATGACAACCACCATTCCACTTTACATCACAATTTAACAATATGCTCTACTAATTCCAAAAGGTGTTTTAATTGTTTTCTGGACATGATAAAATTTTAAGTGAGAAACAACAACCTTTACTAATCATACCAAAGAGGGGTTTAAGCTATCTTTCATGTCTGTAATCCACAGCATGCAATAATTAAAAGACATTTTATTATTATTATTATTATTATTATTATTATTATTATTATTATTTGCTGATTAACCCAAAATTCCTTCATTTATTCATGAAACTAACAATCTAAAATAACAAACTTTTTAATCTAAAATTCGGCAGCACCTCCTTTAAAGTAGGAGCAATCCACTCAAAAAAGGAGCTATTTTAATCAACGAATTTACAACAAAATATCCATTCAAATAGCATTCTCTCCACAAAAACCAAACCAATTTCAAATATTCAATCCCCCCCGCACTTAAACTTTTTATTGGCCTCAATGAAAACAAAGTTAAGAAAGGAAAAGAGAAACTTAGCTGGTCATGTGAGCTGTTTATGGATCAGCTCCAAGTTTGTGTTATGTTCTGGAAGACTCGCAAAATTTAAACTTTGAAGAACGGTGAAGCATCAAATATGTTGAATTTAATCATTTCACCGTCAAATTCCATTGTTAGATTACCTTCATGAACATCAATTTTAGTTTTGGAAGTCTTTAGAAAAGGTCGACCCAACAATAAAGGAACACTATCAGATCTATCACCCATATCAAGCACATAAAAATCAGCAGGAAAAACTAATTCAATCACTTGAACAAGTACATCTTCTAATACTCCCAAAGGAAATGCATTAGATCTATCAGCTAGTTGGATAACCACATTAGTCTTAGACAAAGGACCAACATTCAAGGTATAATATACAGATTTAGGCATGACATTGATTGAAGCACCTAAGTCTAGCATACATCTTTCAAAAATAGAGTTACCAATTTTACATGGAATAGAAAACATGCCCGGATCCTTACATTTAGGGGGAAGTTTCTTTTGAATTACTGCTGAAATGTTTTCCCCCATACTTACCTTTTCAGAAGGGAGAAATTGTCTTTTATTAGTACAAAGTTCCTTAAGAAACTTTGCATAGCGTGGCACCTGCTTAATAGCATCAAGAAGAGGAATATAAACTTCAACTTTCCTAAAAGTCTCTAGAATTTCATTGTCCATAGCTTTTTTCTTAGATTTAGCAAATCGAGAGGGGAAAGGAGGAACATCTTTAAAACAAGAAACATCAAAATTCACATCAGAATTACCCTTCCCTACAGGTTCTTTCTCACTCTCTTTATCATGTTTTTCCTTACTCTCACTAACTATATCCTTAGGTCTGACTTCTACTTCTTTCTCTACTGCTTTATTCTTCTTTTTAGGTTCTGTTAACTCTTTACCACTCCTAAGTGTTACAGCTTTAGCATGTTCATTTGGATTGGCAAGTGTTTGAGAAGGAAGTCTATTCGAGAGTTGAGATTCCAACTTACTCAAAGTAGTGCTTATTTGACCTATTTGAGTGTCTATGTGATGTAGGTGAATCTCAGTTTTCTTTTGATATTCAACACCATGATCATGAACCTGTCCTATTGGTTTGCTAACTGTTTCACCAAGTCTTCTAATGAAGGGCTAGCAGTTTTAGGTGGTGGGTTTTGTTGACCATGTTGCTTAAATTGATTAAACGGTTGAAATTGTGGTCTATTTCCATACCTTAGATTAGGGTGGTCTTTCCAACCTTCATTATAAGTTTGTGAGAAAGGATCATACTTCCTATTTTGTTGACCAGAAAAACCCCCTAAGGCATAAACATCTTCACTCTATAAAGTAGGACATTCATCAGTAGCATGAAAAAAAAAATCAGAACAAACACCACAAACTCTAGATTTAGACTCATTACTAGCAATTTGAGAAACAAGATAGTCAAAGTAGCAATTTGTTGAGAATTTTCTTGCAATTGATTATGAATACCACTTATATCAATTTCATTTACTCATTTAACATCATTTCTAGTACTAAATTGCTGTGTATTCTGAGCTATATTAGAGATTAATTTTCTAGCTTCAGTAGGTGTTTTATCAACTAATGCACCCCCACTAGATGCATCTATCATACCTCTATCATTAGGTAACAAACCCTCATAAAAGTATTGAATTAACAATTGATCACTTATTTGGTGTTGTGGACAAGATGAACAAAGGCCTATTAAAATGTTTCCAGTACTCATATAAAGACTCATTATTATTCTGTGAAATTCCACAAATTTCCTTCCTAATAGAACCTATACGACTCGCAGGAAAAAATCTTTCAAGAAAAACTTTTTCCAATTCTGCCCAAGAATTAATGGAACTAGATGGAAGTTGCTCATATAACCACTCTTTAGCATGATCTTGCAAAGAAAAAGGAAAAGCATGCAATCTAATATGTTCCTGTTATATTCCTTCGGGATTCATAGAAGAACATACAACTTTAAACTATTTTAAATGTCTATAAGGTTTCTCACCTGCGTTCCCATAGAATTTAGGGAGAAGACTAAGGAACCCCGAGTTCAGTTTCAGGGGAGTCTATAGTTCTGAAAAGACAATGTAGAGAGGATCTTCTCCTGTTTTAGGGGCTCCCAGTTCTTTTAATGTTTGTTCTGCCATGTTATATTTGATCGACAAAGGATCTTCTAATTCAAGTGCTGATTCAGCACTGAAAATATGAAGAAGCTCTTCTGGTTTTGCTCCGTTTATCAAGTCTATGTACGCTCTTATGCGCTGAAGTCTTGCTTCTTTATCGTACGCGTACATGCACCTATATAGATAACATAAATTAATGAGAGATGAGCCTGTGATATTAGTGCATAAACGTAGGTTAAAAATGAATTTCTGATCAGAACTAAAATATAGGCAAAATCAAGGGCTGATATCAGATATTCAGATCAAACAAGACATGTTTAATTATAAGTGGTTCTAACAGTAAGTATGCTGAAATTTAGAAGCATCAGACAAGCTACGAAATTATATGAACCCGACCAAGCAATCTCATGAAATCATCGGTTGTCATGTGCAAATTCTGACAACTAATTTTGCTTAAATTTTACTCAAGTAGATATGTATCAGTTTAGCTTTTCAACAATTTTTTAGCAAAATGGTCTCCCTGAATTTAGGATTAGGCATAAAATCACATATTCACCTGTCAAAATTCAACATGTGAGGCTTTGCTAATTATCAATAATATTCTGGTCAGATTTTTTTTTTTTTTTTAGTTTTAGCAGTTATGAAGTAATGACATCAGATCTTCAGACAAGAAATTTCATGTAACTGGCATGATATACTAAATTTCAGTAGCAAAATCAGCAATTCTACATCTGAAAAGTAACACTACTAGAAAACAGCTAAATTCCGACGGAAAAAATCCGTCAGAAACACCTCGTTTTCCGTCGAAATATGTTGTCGGAATAGGTGTTGTAGGAAAATTGATGTTTTCCGACGGAAATTCCGTCGGAACCAGTTTTCCGACGGGATTTTTCTGTCGGACGACAATTTCTGGCCCAGGAAAGTCCGTCGGAAAATTCCGACGGAAAGTATTAAAAAACTGCACCCCCACCCTTCAACCACCGGCCCACACCTTATAACCACCAGTCCCCACCCAGAACCACAAGCCCCCACCTTGTAACCACCAGCCCCCACCTTATAACCACCAGCCCCCACCCAGAACCGCAAGCCCCCACCTTATAACCACCAGCCCCCACCCAGAACCGCAAGCCCCCACCTTATAACCACCAGCCCCCACCCAAAACCACCACCCCCCACCGCAGAACCACCAGCCCCTACCCAACCACAACCGACACTACCACACCAAAAATGAACCCCAAAAAATAAAAATCAATCCCGAAAACACCAAAAAACGAGAATTTAACACCAAAACACAAAAATCAACCACAACGAAACGAAATCCCCCAAAAAAATCGAAAATTAACACCAAAAAACGAAAATTAGCCCAAGCATCTTAAAATCGACAACGAAATCGAAAAAATCCACACAAAATAAAATCAAAACCTGTAGATCTACAAATTTAAACAGAATTTCGTTTTAAAAAATGATAATTTTATTACATGAAATATATAAATATACAATTATCCAATAAAATTCAAAAATTAACATAACAATTACAAAAAAATTAACTAGATTTACAATTACAATTATTGTTGCGTCGTTGTTGCTGTTGCGTGGTTGTTGTTGCGTTGTTGCGTCGTTGTTGTTGTTTCGTTGTTGTTGCTGTTGCGTTGTTGCGATCGACGGTGGTTGTTGCTGTTGCGTTGTTGGTGGACGGAGAAAGAAGAGGATGATGGAGAGAGGCAAGATAAAGATAAGAGGAAAGGGAAGAGGAGAAGATGGAGAAAACTAAAGGGAGGAAAGGAGAAGAGATGGAGAGGAGGGGCAGAGGGAAAAGAGGAAAGAGAAAAGGAGAGGAGAGAGAAAAGAAATGTGAATCATAAGGGGAAAGTGAAAAGAGGCGGAGAGGAGAGAGATGAGTTTGATATTTAGGGTTTTTTTTAAAAAAAAAAACAAGTGATTTAAAAAAAATATATAAAAAAAATAAAAAATAATTCCGACGGAAATTCCGTCGTAAATATCCGATGGGTACAAATTCCGTCGGAAAGTACATATTTTTCGACGGAATAATTTTCCGTCGGAAATTTTCGACGGAATTGTTTTTTTCGTCGGAAATATACGACGGAATATAATTCCGTCGGAAATATTGGTATTTCCGACGGAATTTCATGTCCGTCGGAACTGTTCCGTCGGAATTCCACCTGATTCTTGTAGTGTAATAATATGACCATCAGATTAGTAATCCAACATATTGGCAAAATGGTTCTCCTGTATCTAGGATTGGTCGTACCAATGCTCATGTATCTATATATCAAAATTCAACATGTAAAGCGTGCTATAACCAACCTTATTCTGTCAGATTACTTCTGCCAGGTCTTATTTGAACACTTTTATAACTTGCATAATTCATTTTTATTAATAGTTCTTTTATTAGATCTCTCATCCAAGATTAATACTTGCAAAAACAAAGTGGGAAAGTAAACAAGTACAAGAATCCTTTTGAGCAGCCTAATCATTTGATGCACATTATTGCTAGCAGAACAAGTTGACCTTAATCTCAGTGTGCATCTAACCAGAGGTAAAGCTCAATAATTGAATTTCATTGGGTACTCTACCTACCTTTGTGAATCAGTTGAGTTTAGAACTATTTATAACTCAACTTATTTATCTTTTGACTTCTAAAAGATATAAAAACCAATTACAAGTCTGCTAATAAAATTAGTGTTCATAAAGATACTTTACTAACTTACAATTAGGCACGAAATCATATGCAAGCACACTAATAGCCAAACAATATAAGTCAACTTATTAAAAGGGTTTTCACGAAGTAATAGTTAACATTAGATAATCAAAAGAACTTGCATCATCTAAATAAAAAAAAAAAATTCAAAATAATTATGTACTCCGGAACAACAATACTCACACAGATTAACAAGTAAGCATAACCGAGCTAAACCTTAAATTTTAGAATATTAAAAATAATCTCCCCGGCAACGGCGTCAAAATTTGATACGAGTCGTTTACCGTAATTAATTAATAAATTGCCTAACTTAAACCTTCAAAAATATTAACAACTAGTAGAAAGGGTAAGTAAGGGTCGAACCCACGAGGAGATTAATTAACTCTATAAACCCAAAATTAACTCGAAACATAAACTATATACTTAAAAGAGTATTATTCACACTATGTACATGAGATTGGGGGGTTTAATCGAACGAGTAACTAAGCCAAACAAGATAAAAATACTATACTAATATGTTGTTCTAAAATAGACGACAAGCAAACCACCAATGTACAACAAATCGATCATCGATTAATACGAAATAACTTAATTCCCAACTTCCTTCATATATCTCATTCAATATTCAACTTAATATTTAGGTAGTCAAATTACCGCCGCAGTCGATTTGACATGTATAGCTCACTAGAAATCAGAATCTTACTAATACACTTTCTACCTTAATAAACTTGATTTATTAGATCAACCCACAAACTCAACAAAACTACGATTGAGCCGCTCAAACTAGTAATATCGAGTCATTCACTCTAAATTATCAATTAACGCCGCATCAAGTAATAAGTTAGCATAGTCTAATTACTTCATACTAGCAATCGTATACTCAATTACAAGTATAAATAAATTAAACGTTTATATAAAAACAAAGGTATCATGTGGATCAATTAAGTATCAAACTTGAGTATTGAAAGACGATTATACTCAGCGTTTAAACGAAGAAAAATAAATCAGGAAATTAAAGATCAAATTACATCCAATTCACCAAGTAGAAGCAACCAAAATAATCACAAAATTAAAAGATGAGGAGTAAATTAGGGAGAACTTATGGATTGAGCCAAGAAACAAACAGCCGCTGCTCGAATCCATCTTCAAATTCGTCCCTTCGCCTTCCAATTGATCAACCTTGGACCAATTCGTGCTCTACTAAGCCTCACGAACTTCCCGTATTTTTGTGGTAATACTTGTGTGTTTTCTAGGAGGGATAATTGGGGATTTTATAGCCGAAAAGAACCTAGGTTTTCTGGGTTTGAAGGGATAGAATTGTAGAGTATGATAAAACTTGATCTTCTTCATGACTTCTCGTGAATTTCGAAGGAGAATAGCAACTCTTGTTTTGGGGATGAGGATTGATAATGTCAGGTTGCTTAATTTACCCTGTACCACGCATCTTTACTCCTTTTCTTCTTATCCCTTTTTTTTTTCTTTTCATTTTGTTTTCTTTGCTTTATGATGGGACGTGATGTCTAACACAAGTGGGCCTCTTATTTTGCAATTGTCCCTTCCAAGTCCACCTTATTCCCTTTCGTCTTCCTACCAAAAGCACACAACATATTATTAAGTATCACTTATTATAAAATTAGCTATAAAATAAAATATTAACATAAAATAAGAACTATAAATATTAAATTGACTAGTTTCATAATATAAATAAAAGAAAACGATTATAAGACTAATATTAGGGACTAAAAATATAGTATATTATGCACTTATCACCTTCCCAAGGCCTGGATCCCAAGAGACCCGTGAATGCTATTGTGATAAGGAGTGGTAAGGTTCTTGAGGAGAATTTGCCTAGGAAGAGTGAAACTAAGGAGGTCCCCAAGGAAGTTTTGGTAGAGGATGAGAGAGATGGTGCACCTTTGAGTGAGGTTGTTATTGAGACACATTGAGAGGTGAGAGTAGAGAAAGAAAATGTGAAACCTAAGCTTCCTTATCCACAAAAATTCATGAGACATAAGTTGGATGAACAATTTGGAAGATTTATTGACATGCTCAAGCAACTTCACCTTTCTCTACCATTTACCGAAGTTGTCACACAAAAGCCCAACTATGCAAAATTCCTCAAAGACATTTTGAGTGGTAGGAGGACTTGTGATGTTGTAGAGACGGTCAACTTGACCAAGAATTGTAGTGCAATCATAATCAACAAGATGCCACCCAAGTTGAAAGACCCCGGAAACTTCTCTATCCTTTGTGCCATTGACAAGATTCATATTGATAATGCCTTATGTTACTAAGGAGCTAGTGTTAGCCTAATGTCATATTCGGTCTTTCAAAAACTTGAGTCAGGGAACTTTTGCCTTCCATCATTACCTTGCAATTAGCCGATAGGTCAATCAAATTTCCAAAGGGTAAGGTTGAGGATGTTCCTTAGAGAGTAGGAAGTTTGTGATTCCGGTGGATTTTGTGGTTCTTGAAATGGATGAAGATTTTTTTTTTTTTTTTTTTTTTTTTTTTTTTTTTTTTTTTTTTTTTTTTTTTTTTTTTTAAGTTATGTTCCTTAGAGAGTAGGGAAGTTTGTGATTCCGGTGGATTTTGTGGTTCTTGAAATGGATGAAGATGTTACCATTCTTATTATTCTTGGTAGACCTTTTCTTGCTTCCTCGGGTTCCATGATTGATGTTAACAGTGCAAAAATTTCACTTAAGGTAGGAGATGAGGTCATTGATTTTGACTTGAATGAAAGCATGAAGTATCCATGTTCTTCTCTACCCTTTCAAAAACCCCAACATGTGTTACTGTTTCAATTCTACAGTGTAGTGACGGACTGATGGTTATGCCCTTGCTTTTTTTTTTTTGTTATTTCCCGTTGATTGACTTCAGTCTTCAACACTAATTCATCATTCTTGCTTTTTCCCCTTTTCATGCTATACCATTCATTTCTTCCATTTGCTTTCTCTCTCCTTTGAACCAATTTTCCCACTCAGATTCCATCTCTCGTTTCTCACTTCATTTTCTTTCTCTTCACTCTCCACTCATCTCTTCAATTGAGATTAAATCCCCTTAATTTTCCCCAAATTTCAGAATTAGGGATTGCTCTGATTTTCAGTTAAACATGGAAAATGTGATTGCTAAGGAAGAAGAACTATCCCCTGTAACGCGGGTACAGGATAATCGATTTCATCATCTTCATCAGTATCAAGCTTCTCTGCTAGACCCATGGAAGGGCTCTATGAAATGGGCCCACCTCCATTTTTTATCAAGACTTTTGATATGGTGGAAGTCCCTTCAACGGATACCATTGTTTCTTGGAGTAAAGCTCGTAATAGCTTCATTGTTTGGGATTCTGTCAAATTTTCTTCTTTGCTTTTGCCTAAGCTTTTCAAGCATAACAAATTTTTCAGCTTTATTCGTGGCTGAATTCTTATATAAGTAAGAATTTTCTTTTTTTTTGGGTTTTTTGTTTGTTACCTACCATGTGTTTGTTGAAATGTTTGTGTGAAATTTTGTGATATTTGATCTGGGTTTCATTTCGAGGAAAGTTTTGTTGTTTGATTTTTTGATCTAGGTTTGTGTAATTGATTTGGGTATCATATTATCATCAATATCATGTAATTGTTTAATTAATTTTGTGTTTTTTGATATAATTTGATTTTAGGTTTGAGATTTGATGATTGTCATGATCCAATGGAAGATCATGATATCAAAGAAGCCTTGAAGCTCCTAATCAGTGTCTTTTGCCTGCTATGGACCTTTCTATGAAGCACGAGTACCTTCCTGAAGATCTTCAGGTTCTCTTTCTATCTCGCTTGTTTAATAATCTGGTTTGTATATTGTGATTTTTGGCTTCAAATGCGTTTTGATAGGGTTATTGTGGAAACAAGTATGTTTTGAATTAGTAATTACTTTTGTTGATGGTTTTATGGATTAGTGAATTGCATTCTCAGCTAATTCTTTAGATTGTGAAGTTGAGTTTGCAAATGAAACGTTATAGAATGAGAAATTCGAATCAATATTTGCTTGAAATGGCTTGTAGGTTGTTATTTACTGATGGATTTATATAGCGATAATTTGGGGAATTTTGGTTACAATCACTTTGATATGAGGCAATAATGTTGGTATTCTGGTTTTGAATTTGATTTTATGGGAAGATCTGGGATTTCTTCGAAAGCTGTGATCTTTATGGTGATTTTTAAGGTTGGAAATTCTAATTTCTTTGCAGAAAAATTTGGTGGTAAACTGGTAATATCTTGAATTCTAAAAATGTTATTGTGAAACATTAACTACAATGGTGATACACTATATAAACTAGAGCTGTTGTCTCCTGTGTTTGAAAGGAAAGAGGTCAATAATGCTATCACTCTCTTGATGTTGGTGCATTTAGGGGTGCTAAACCTTTGAGCCGAGCCCGAATAGTGGTAGGCTCGGCTCGAGCTCATTTGCCTTGATGTAAGCTCGGTTCGAGCTCGAAGCTCGACGAGCTTTCGAAAGATAGGCTCAGCTCGAGCTCGTGACGCAAGATGCAGGTTCGGTTCGAAGCTCGACTCGAATTCGTTTTTTTTTTTTATATTATTATTGGCTTGAGCTCAGACTCGAATTTATAATCCACAATCACATAATGGTATACTCTTAATTTGAAATTGAAATAATTAGAAATAAGGAGATTTATATTTACATACTAACAATCTAACATGCCCCTACCATAAATAATTGAAGCCCGCTTGAAGGTTTGAAGATTTTGAACGGTAGACGGCGAGTCAGTGATGGTGAGGCTACTGGGGGCGTGGGTCAGGTACTCAGGTGGTGTTCTTGCTGTGAGTTTTGTGCTGGTGAAATTGTGAGCCTGACGGCTGGGCGTGAGAAATGAGAAATTGAGAATGAGGTAAAAGTAAAGCTATAGCTAGGTTAATCAAGACATGAGCTGTAAACCGCCAAACCCACTAACAATGCAAATTTTTTATTTTACTTGTATTTTTTTAATAAATGAATGAATATTGAAAGCTTTATTAAATACTACTGCTCGTAGTATACTACTCCACCATGTAATTGCATCAGATTTTATACATCCATATTTTTATATAAAAAAAATCTACCAACAATTTTATAATATATAATTATATATAAGCTTCTTATATTTTAATCGAGCCTGTTCACGAGCTTTTCGAGCCAAGCTTTGACTTGCTCGGCTTGGCTCGTTAAGGTTTCGAGCCGATCTAGAACTCGAGTCGAGCCTCGTCGAACCGAGCTTTGACCGAGCTTCGACCGAACCGAGCTCGAATAGTTCACGAATAGCTCAGTCTCATTATCACCCCTAGGTGCATCATTGTGGTACTACTCACATAGAGTGGTTCCATTAATTTTTCTTTTATCATCTTATTACCTTGTCTTCATTTGGATAGGAAAGGTTGGGTGGTTGTGGCTCATATTCTTTATTGTTTTTTTTTTTTTTTTTTTTTTTATTATTTTTTTTTTATTTATTTATTTTATTAATTTTTTAAATTTTTTTTTAATTTTATTTTATTTAATACCTTTCATTTCTGAGCTACATCAAGTGATTTGATGTCCTTTTACAGGTTCGTGCTTATGCGGTGAGTGTTTTTGAAAGAGTTGACGATGATATACTATCTTCTGCAGTTAGTCCCAGCCCTTCGTTATAAGCACTCAGATAGATCACGCCCATCTCATTTCCTTGTGCAACGCTGTACTTTCTTGTCCTCTTTTTTCTCTAATGGATTATGATGTTATATTGATTGTTTGGTATTATGTTATACATGCTATTTTGAAATTAAATATATGTGAAATTGGAAAGTATTGTAGTGAGACAGACTTTTGGATAATTGCATTGTTGGTAAAAATAGTAAATGCCTCAGTAATACTTGTGTTAGAAGCATTTACTTTGGTGCTTTTGGCTCTATTATTCATCTCTTGATCTGAATGTGTCAACTAATGATGCATTGCTAAATTCTTTTTGTTGTGGTTTTCATTAGTATACCATATTTAAGCATTTGATTGGGTTCAATTTTTCTATTATAAATCTGGAATACGAATAATCTATGTAGGATCAGGTGAAGATGAGTTATAAAATCAACTCTTGGAAAGTGTTCTTATAGGACCTATCAATTTCGTTAACTATAGCTTTGATCATTCCGTCATAACTTCTTTGTCTTATTCTTGAACTTTCTGTATTTTAATCCTTGGTGGAAGGAACTGCCGTTTGGATTGAGGAGCATCTAGAAAATTTTCTATTTTTAATTTTATATGTATTTTGTGGTTTTAGAATCTGATATTTGGGAACTTGTGTTGTGTTGTTTGTGGGAAATTTGTCGGCAATTTTGTCAAAAATATCAATTTTTTTGTGGTAGTGCTTTCCGATCTTACAACATTGTTGCTGCACATAAATCCCCAACTCCTTTAGATGACATACTTTTTAGCTTGAAAACAATGTATCTAGAATTAGTACTCCATATGGTTTTGTTGTGATTTAAAAGATCCGCCCCTTTAGATGAATTTATTTTTTCTTCATAATAATTATTTTTCATTTTTCTCCCTATGTTTGCATTTGGGTGGTATTTTGTTGGTTACGAGCAAATGAGATATTTCAATAGCTTATGAGTTTTTTGTCAATTTTCACCAAAATTTTCTTGTTGAGTTATTATTAGTAAATAGGCTCATTGTCGTAAGTTAGCTATAGGATTTTCTTCCTCAACTACTCTCTTTGTTTAAATGTTTTTTTAATGGGTTTTGAATCATTCAATTAGAATCGGTGATTTTTTTGGTGTTATGCATTTGCTTATTTGAATATCAAGACAAGCTGCTTTTATATTTGATGATTATGCATTAGTTATGATTAATATTTTATCTACACTCTTTTAAAAGTGAGAAGACCATCAGAACGGTTCAAAATGAACAGTATGAGAGTGCTTCCGACTCTGCCTTTGGTCTGGGGTGGTATTTACGGTTCTGTGGCTTCTGCCATTGAACATTTTTTTTTTTTTTTTCTTTCCTTTGAGTGGCTATGGGGTTGATTGACAGTAAATTTAACATGCCTCATTTTGCTGTTGTCTTTTTTTTTTTTTTTTTTTTTTTTTCCTTTTTTTTTCTTTCCTGGAATTCAGTTTTCTTTTCAAATTTGGTTGTTGGAGTTGTGCCTGTGTTCATGTTTAGGTCTTTTTAATTTTCTGGGGGAATAATTTGAACTGATTTTTGTTTGTTTGATTGAGTTTGCTGTATTTTCAATTGAATTTTTTGGAAAATGAAATTGATTGAATTTTGTTGTTGATTTTATAGGAATGTCTCTTATATGCAGTGTGACCTGAAATATATTCTTCTTGAATGCCATTTATCTTCTTTGGTATATTTATCTAATACTTGTAATTAATGATGTTATCTACCAAAGATTGTACGAGTCCTTTCATTGAATTCTATTAACATATGCAGGTTAGGGGACAATTTTCACTCCTAATGAGTTACAAAGGGTCAACTGAGGTAGCTATGCTACCTAGCAACTGCAGCAATTACTTCGCTTGAATATATTGTCCGGATTAAAAAAGCACAAGTATTAGTAATTGCTGTGTCTTTTTAAATCCGGAAGACCAGAATCATGAGTGGAATTGTAGACGGAAATACGGAATCGCGGCAGCAGTACAACCTGATGAAGCATACTCCAGGTAAAAGTTTAAAAGCAAAGTTATAATATAGCTAACTTGCATGAGTTTTATTTACAAGTAGTTTTATTTATTTATTATTCACAATTCCAACCGACTAGGCGATTGTGGTGATTCTGCCTTCTTCTTCACCAACATGAGTAGGCTATGAACTCTAAGTTTCATTGAGCTTTTTCTTATTCTTATTAAGATAGAAGGGTTAAGAAAGGGAGAACAGTAAGAAATAATAGAACAATAAGAAATGACAGTTAGGAAAAGAGTGGTGGGGAAGAGCTACATTGGGCACATGTTGGACTATTTTACGAGTCATATTGGACAACTATACTATAAGTGTGTATCTATGAGGCCTGGGAATAGGGGACTATAGGAAGGAACTAGAGTATATTGTAGAGCAGGAATAATCAAGGAAGAGCATTTTGGAAGGTAATTGATGTATCGATTAGCTAGGTTGAGACTAATAAAGATATTGAATCTTCAGAAGTTGGAGTTACATTCATATAGTAAATGCTGATGTGATAAAATAGTTGAGACTTGTCTTTGTGTATGTTCTATCTAAAAGAAACAAGTCCGAATGTTGTTTTATGTAAAATTTTACCAAGCATATATATTAGTCCTGTTATTGATCTGTGCAGGTGTTTAGGGATTTCCCCTAACAAAGTTAATTACTGGTTTTTTTAACCTTTTCTATTAAGTATGTTGGTATTCCCCTTTCTATCAAGTAATAGAAAATCAAGCTTTCATATGCAAAAATCTTTGCAGAAACATCTAGACACCAAATACCTTATACACCATATGGTTAGTTGGTATCATCTGACCTGCATAGTTCTTGATTGTTATGTGGAAGCATCCTTCTTTTCTAAGTAATAAAAGCCTTAACTTGGTTATATAAAAGTAGCATTTATTTGGTTCTAGAACTTTTCAAATATCCATTAGTGGATCTGAAATGCTTTAGCAATTCACATTTATTGGATTATACTGGGTTTATATAATGACTTCTTTAATTAAGGTGGAGTATAGTTATCATACAGTGGAACTGCCTGGTTGAGAAAGTAGAATCTTAGCTACTGAGGTTAGAGGACAGAGAATGCATCCATCTTTTGTTTATAAGCAATGATTTTATGTGCTTGTTGTAAGCTTCTCAATTTTCATTATACGACTATATAATATCAAATACTCCGTATAGATTAGTATTTTGTATATGCCCCCTATACTAAAATTCTTTATGATTTTCTAGGTAATCGTGCTAATATTGCCTTGCAAATTTAGTGCTTGGAGCAGCAAGGGTAGATGGTGTTTCAGAAGTTCAAGTAGATGGGAGGTAGTTGTTTAATTTGTATTAAAGGCATTTTGAAAGGTCTTGAATGTGAGGAATTTTATAATATGCTTTTTTTTGTATTGAATTTTAGAGGGGCTGAGAAGGTGCAATTTTTGAAATCATTAGGCACTGACCATGTTGGTGGAAAGCTAACAAAGGATGCCATGAATCTGTTGAACAGGGGGAGCTAACATGTTGGTCATTGGATTTGCCAGTGGAGGAGTTCCTATCATTCCTAGGAATATAGCTCAAGGAAATGGATCAACTACAATGAGATTTTTTAAAAAAAATTACATAACAATAGATGGAAGATAGATGAGGGGATAAGGAAAGCAAGGAAGTAAGATAGATTCTTTAGTAGCACTGTAATAGTGTAATATGATACTTTTAGTAACACTGTTATACCATATAGTTTATTTGTGATTGTTAAATAGTGCGAGAAAAAATAGAAATGCTTGTGATCAGGAAAACATAAAAGAAATGACAAATTATTAAAAATAAAAAATAAAATCATTTGTTGCAAATGTTGAAAAAAATAAAATCATTTGTTGCAAATCAGGAAAACATAGTTTTTTTTTTTTTTTTTTTTTTGGCAAATGTTGAAAAAAATAATACTTGTATGAAACAAAAGGTTAATAGGTCTTAATAAAGTAATTGTCCTAATAACTTTTAATACTATGTAATCGAAAAGGATATAGAAAACAATTAGAAAGAGTTTATCAAATAAGGTAAAGAGGGATCTCTCAAAAAAAAAATAAGGTAAAGAGGGAGAGTGAGATTAGGATTATGATATGTTTTTTAAAAAAAAGGATTATGATAAAAATTTAAATCATTTAAATAAATATTATACGGATAGAAAGAAGAAACAATGCAAGAAGTTGGATGAAGAGGTATAAGATCATGTTATGACATTAAAACAACAAAACGTTTTGTGTGAGACTGGACTCATGTGAAACCGGGCTCAACAATAAAAGGCCAATAAAAAGGCACGGGCTGACTAAACCTGATCGTGAGGCCCGTGACACCGTACCAACTCCACATTATTGCATTAGTACCGCATAACATTTCAACGAGCAGTGCAAAACATCCATATCCTCGCCTCACCAGATTCTCTCTTCGTCCTCCTTATTTAGTAAGCACTTCTTTTTTTTTTTTTTTTTTAAAGAATTTCTCGTGTCATTTTTATTAAACTTCAACTTTCTCTCTCATACAACCAAAAATGAAGTTTCAAAAATCTGAATGACTAGAAACTAGGAACTAGAACAGCAATGGTTGAAATTTATTAAACAAAGTAACAGTTGCCTTCTTACCAACTTTATTGTCTAATTATTACTAAAACAGGGCAGGAATTCAACTTTCAACAGTAGAAGTAAGATTTGAGCATTTACGGTTGAAGGAGATTGTTATGTCGGTACAAGAGCTCTTCCAACACTATCAAATGCTGCTCGTAATTTAGCTAAAGGAGTCCTTAGTTTGATTAATATTATACACTGGCTGAAAGGAGAAAGCTCACCATCCTTAAAGATATTTCAGGCATTGCTATACACTTATACCTGACCAATTATAACTATTACCAAACAAAATAAATCTAATACCTGACCATTATATCCTATTACCAAACAAAATAAATCTAATACCTGACCATTATATCCTATTACCAAACAAAATAAATCTAATACCTGACCAATATATCCTATTACCAAACAAATTAAATCTAATACCTGACCAATACATCCTATTACCAAACAAATTAAATTTAATACCTGACCAATACATCCTATTATCAAACAAAATAAATTTAATACCTGACCAATACATCCTATTACCAAACAAATTAAATTTAATACCTGACCAATACATCCTATTACCAAACAAAATAAATTTAATACCTGACCAATACATCCTATTACCAACATAATAAATTTAATACCTGACCAATATATCCTATTACCAAACAAAATATATCTAATACCTGACCATTATATCTTATTACCAAATAAAATATATCTAATACCTGATCATTATATCCTATTACCAAACAAAATAAATCTAATACCTGACGAATATAATCTATTATTAAATAAAATAAATATAATATCTGACTAATATAACTTAAAATCAAACAAAATAAATCTAATACTTGACAAATATTAACTAACGGAGGGAGTATCAATTATTTAACAAATATGTTACTCAGATAATGAAGTTTTACTGCACGTAATGTAATTCAAGTTGTATGACTGCTTTTTAATGGACTATTCTTGTAAAATGCAGCTATATGTATGGGATGACTCAGAGTATATTTCGCTTCATATTACCGGTAAAGTAGCCGAGCTTCTATTTGGGAACATCAGTGTAGAAAATTAGTGCAAGTCATATAAGTTCTTGACGAAGAATAGAATTTGAGAAGGTCGCCGCCATTGTTGAGAGTCCTTTCATTGTTGAAGGTTTGCAGAAGAAAGCAATAGAGATGAAGAAGAAGAATAAGAATTGAAGAAGAATATAAAATCGGGCCGCGTGCGGGCCTATTAATAGAATGGACTCATGTGAGTCCGTTCTACACTATTTTTCCTTAAAACAAACTATAAGTATATTGTTTGCCCTACAATTAACATTCATTTTATAAAAAATAACTTAGAAATATTACTTAAGTTGTTGCTATCACTATTATTGTAAATTCAAATATTAGTATATTTTTTTTTTTTAATTTGAAACAAAAATATTAGTATTCTTATAACACTAATTAGGTTAGTCCCGTGCGATGAACGATTTTAAAATAAGAAATGAATTATAAACTCTTTAGCACATGTTGAGAGAAAACAACTACTTTCTCTGTAGTACTTTCTAATTATATATGAAAATACAATTTTCAAAAATCCATTATTTTCATATTTAATTAGGAAGAATCAATTAAACTATGTAGTATATTATTAGCTTTTTTTAACAACTACTTGTAAATAATAAATTAGCATAATATGCGTAGAAAACCTAAAATTTAAAATTCAATTTGAATTTAATTTTAAAAACAGTTAAATAGGGTAGCTCAAAATAGAATAAAAATAAAAAATAAAAAAAAAACAAGATGACATCATCCTTGCATTTTGACGGGAAAAAAAAATTAAATGAGAGAGTAACACGTAAGCAGTGATGACGTCAGCAGTTGTTACTTTAGTAATATTTATAGATTTATAGTTTACATTTCTAAAAATTAATTATAAAACACCTTATTATTTTCACGTTCCCATCAAGTATCCAAATTTACAAATATTTGTCATACACTTAAAATCAATAGAACAATAGCAATTATTTCTGGCAATAACTACATCAATTACTATTACACATTTGCTTACGCTACGAATTACCTACAAACTCGGTTTTACTTTATTGGGCTATCGCGCGCGATGGCTCAACTAGTCTTTAGAAAATTGCATGTTGATTGATTCCCTTGATCATGTTGTGTCTTCCATGCATGAGCACATGCTCACATCTAATGATCCTCTTGAGAATGTCTTGTTGAATAAGGATAAGATAGGTGCTCCTATCAAGGAAATGGCAATGTATGACGATTTGCTAAATGGAAGCATCGAGGTAGTGGACGAGCATGTGTGCATGAGCATTTCTATCCAAGAAGCGTTGCAAGTGGCAACATCGAAGGAAGGTAAAGGTGCTCCAATGGTTGAGCTCAAATCTCTTCCATCACACTTTAGGTATGAATTCTTGGGACCCAACTCCACTTTTCCCGTGATTGTTAGCTCTTCTTTGAGTAAGCACCAAGCTCAACAGTTGTGTGGTGTTTTGAGAAAGCACCAAGGCGCTTTCGATTATACCATTGATGGCCTCAAAGGTATAAGCCCCGCTTTATACACATCACACAACTCTTGAGGAGGGTGCTTTACCATCCATTGAGAGACAACGAAAGTTACATCCCCAAATGGGAGACGTAGTGAAGAAGGAGATCACCAAACTTTTGGATGCGAGAATAATATTCTCCATTTCTAATTTTAGGTGGGTTTCTCCCGTTCACGTTGTCCCAAAGATGGGAGGTATGACCGTTGTTGAGAATGAGAAAGGTGAGCTCATTCCAACGAGGACGATCACGGGATGGAGGATGTGTATAGACTATAGACGTTTAAACACATCTATAAGGAAAGATCATTTCCCCCTTCCTTTTATTGTTCAAATTTTTGAGAGACTAACAAGGCACAAGTTCTATTGTTTTCTTGATGGTTATTCGGGATTTTTCCAAATCCCTATCCACTCGGATGACTAAGAGAAAACAACCTTCACTTGTGCATATGGTACATTTTGAAGAATGTCGTTCGGCGTTTGCAATACTCCCGCGACATTTCAAAGATGCATGATGAGCATATTTGGGGATATGTTAGAAGAGGAGATGGAGGTTTTTATGGATGATTTCTCCGTGGGAGGTGTTTCATTTGAGGCATGCCTTGAAAACCTTGAATAATGTCTTGCAAGGTGTGAGAAGGTGAACTTGGTCTTGAATTGAGAGAAATGTCACTTCATGGCGGAGGAAGGAATAGTCCTTGGCCACAAGATCTCTCACAAGGGGATAGAGGGGAATAAAGCTAAAATTAAAGTTATTGAAAAGCTACCACCTCCGATGAATGTAAAGGGAGTGAGATCTATCTTAGGGCATGCCGGGTTTTATAGAAGATTCATCAAAGATTTCTCGCTCGTTTCAAAGCCCCTCAATGATCTTCTTCAAAAATATGCCGAGTTTGTGTTTGATGATAAGTTTTTGGAGGCATTCAATAAGTTGATGAAAGCTCTAATCTCTACTCCTATTGTTCAAGCTCCAAGATGGGATTTACCATTTGAGTTGATGTGTGATGCAAGTGATTCGGAAATAGGAGGTGTCTTGGGTTAAAGAGTGGACAAGAAACTTCATGTGATCTATTATATGTCCAAGACTCTAAATGGAGCTTAACGGAATTACACTACAATGGATAAGGAATTTGTGGCTATAGTTCATGCTTTTGAGAAGTTCTGTTGTAATCTATTAGGTTCCAAGACCATTGTCTTCACGGATCATGAGGCTCTCAAGTATGTTTTTGCTAAGAAAGGGTCCAAGCCAAGGTTGATCCGGTGGGTTCTTGAGCTCTAAACCTTTGACATTGAGATTAGGAATAAGAGAGGAGCGTAAAATGTTATGGCGGACCATCTTTCTCGTCTAGAAGATTCTCAAATTTATGGTGATGGTTCTCCAATTGAGGATAGGATGCTTGATGACTTCTTGTATGCTATTGAAGCAAAGGAGCTCCCATGCTTTGCCCATTTAGTGAACTTTCTTGCATGTGGGGAGTTTCCTCCTTCCTTTTCTAAGAACAAAAGAAAGAAGCTTAAGAGAGATGCAAGGCATTATGTGTGGGATGATCCCATCTTATACAAGCGAGGGGTTAATGGCTTACTT